TACAGGATAAGTCCAGTTTACTGCAACTTGGGTCCTATTTTTGTAGTTTCTGCCTGCATTCATTCACAGTATTCCTGTTGTTGTCTCTATGCATGTGCGTCTTTGTGTGTATCAACAACACAATGAAAATAGGCCAGTTAGATCATCACACAGGTTGTAAAAAGCCATTGGTTTAGCCTACACTGTTAATAAAAATAAAAAGAAAAGAAACAAAATAATTTAAAAATAAAAAATAAAAAAAAAGAAAAATATCAGAATTCCAATAAAGTGCATTTTCTTGAATCATTATGGTCACATACCTTCAATAAAGTGGCACTAAAAGTTCTACAGAGTACTTTGTTTGGAGATCAAGAACTAGTATGTAGTGGCATCTAGTGTTGATGTTGCAGATTGCACCCAACTGAAACCTCTCCTGTGTACCAAGTGTGTAGGACAGTGGCCAAAGACAAAACCTCCTTGGCCCTATCTAGAGCAAGTGTTTGGTTTGTCCATTCTGGGTTACTGTAACTACTGTACATTGCATTATCCACAGAGGAAGACCCACTCCATATGTAGATGTAAGTGGCTCATTGTGAGGTAACAAAAATACAACAATTCTTATTATCAAGTGATTTTACACAAATATAAACATAGTTATGAATATCATATTCATTTCTGCCAATATTTTCCCATAAACCCTACAACCTGGGTCTTTAAAATCAAAAAGTGAGCATGCCAAAAACTGTCTTTAATATTTCTAAGTGCTGTTTTATAAGTAACTGGACCGGTGGGAGTTTCTTGAAGATGTCTCACCTCTCTTCCAAGAAGCTTCTTTAGTTCTAACTGACAGGTGGGGAGTTGCAGGCTTTAAACCCCTTGTGGGTGTGAACCCTTCCAGTGTCCTTAGAGGTCACCTGTGAGTCGTGGACCCACCTGGCCATCATGTGGGTCGTAAGGGTTAGATCTGCAAGAAACTCAAGCAAGTCTAGTTACCTTTGATACAGCATTTAGAATCACCATGACCTGAATGACTGAAAATCTTCACCAGCATGTTTGTAATATTCACTCACCCCATAGGAAAAATGAGCACAACTGGGGTGAGTGCTGCGGGTTAAATTTGGACCAGTAAGTTTGTCTGTAAATGGTGATGGATGTTTACAACAGACAGCTTGGGTAGTAATTTTCCCTCCTGCCTTTGCTTTTCCCCCTCCCAAAATTTATCTTTCTTACCAACAGGTTTGCCAAAGTGCCTGCTTGTATGTCTTGCCTCATCTGACTCCTTTTTAGCGATGCTTCCAAATGTCAGCATGGAACGTGTGAGTTGTAGTTTTGAGTGCAAAGTGGAAAAGGGATGATGGCGAAAGATGCAAAAACAAAATCCAAGTTATAAAAATATGGATTTTTCCTGCAACTATACATATATATATATTATGATATTGTGAAATGTAATTTTATTCATGTTCATGATGTGAAAAAAATACACTCACAGGTCACTTTATTAGGAACCCTTTGCTAGTACCAGGTTGGACCCCCTTTTTAATTCTTAGTTTCATAGATTCAACAAGGTGCTGGAAACACTCCTCAGAGATTTTGGTCCATATTGACATGATGACATCACACAGTTGCTGCAGATCTGTCAGCTGCACATCCATGATGAGAATCTCCAGTTCCACCACATCCCAAAGGTGCTCTATTGGACTGAGATCTGGTGACTGTGGAGGCCATTGGAGTACAGTGAACTCATTGTCATGTTCAAGAAACCAGTTTGAGATGATCTGAGCTTTGTGACATGGTGCGTTATCCTGCTGGAAGTAGCCATCAGAAGATGGGTACACTGTGTTCATAAAGGGATGGACACGGTCAGCAACAATACTCAGGTAGGCTGTGGTGTTTAAACCATGCTCAGTTGGTACTAAGAAAATCTCCCCCACACCATTACACCACCAGCAGCAGCCTGAACCGTTGATACAAGGCAGGATGGATCCATGCTTCCATCTGAATGTGGTTTTTCCAATCTTCTTTCTATTGTCCAGTTTTGGTGAACATGTGTGAATTGTAGCCTCAGTTTCCTGTTGTTAGCTGACAGGAGTGGCACCTGGTGTGGTCTTCTGCTGCTGTAGCCCATCTGCTTCAAGGTTGGACGTGTTGTTGCTTCAGAGATGATCTTCTGCAGACCTTGGTTGTAACCAGTGGTTATTTGACTTCCTGTTGCCTTTCTATCATCTTGATCCAGTCTGGCCATTCTCCTCTGACCTCTGGCATCAACAAGGCATTTTGGCTCACTGGATATTTTCTCTTTTTAGGACCATCCTCTGTAAACCCTAGAGATGGTTGTGTGTGTGAAAATCCCAGTAAATACTCAGACCAGCCCGTCTGGCACCAACAACCATGACACGTTCAAAGTCACTTAAATCACCTTTCTTCCTCATTCTGATGCTCAGTTTGAACTTCAGCAGATCGTCTTCACCATGTCTACATGCCTAAATGCATTGAGTTGCTGCCACGTCATTGGCTGATTAGCTATTTGCATTAATAAGCAGTTGAACAGGTGTACCTAATAAAGCCGTCAGTCAGTATATATATTCTTATTGTACAATATCTTTGTATTTTTGGTTTTGACCAGTTTGAACAAATTCATCCTTTTTGCTGATGATGGTTGTTTTTAGTTCTTTGTTCTCGGCTGCTGGTTTTGTGCCTGACAAGAACTTGACAAGTCAGTCTTGACCACTGGACACAACAAAGAGACTATAATAATAGTTAGGCTGGAGTATAGAGGAAGAGAAAGAGGCAGAAAATCCACCAACTGAAGCCAGAGAGAGTAGTGGCTGTGTTTATCTTGAACTACTTAGCTCCCTGGCTGTGAGTCAAATGTAGAGAGAGACATTGGGAGGTAGTGGAGGCCTTCATTAAATGCAGCTCAGGCCCTGGTGAAACCCTGGTTAATGTCCCTATCATCTCTGGAGTGGTCCAACGTCTAGCTCTCTGTCCAAATGACTCATGTTTAATGCATCTCTGCAGTCCTTGTCATTTAACCTCACCTCTGGAGGTTGCAGGTCGGGGTGGAATAGCGAAGGCTCCCACAAGACCCATAAGGGGCAAAGCGGCCGTGCAGTTATTCTTCCCCCGCTCTCCATTTACTTAACATGGGGGAGAGCTGCTCCATGTCTCGCCTATTGCTGTGTTATCTCCCCAAAGCAAACCCCCCCCTCACCCCATCACACTGCATGAACCTGAACTCCAGGGTGGTCTGGGTTGACTATGTGGCTCTCTGAAGCACTTTGTTACTCTGGTTCCTGTGTGTTACGACTGAATGCTTAAGCAGGAGACAACTGATGCGATGCTGGGAGACTTTATGACTTACTCTTTACTCTGAGCGCTGCGGTTTATAGCTTTGGTGAAGGCTTTTCAGGTGAGATCGCAGGCTGTCAAACTCCATCAGCTTCAATATTTTGTTGGAACTGTCAAAGATTGTATTCAAACTGCATGAATTTTGAATTTGTCATGCTAATTAAACAGTTTTAAAATGAACGCAGTAGCTTGGAAATGAATGTCATTTCTATTTTTGACGTGGTTGGGCGACGCATCCTACCACCTAGTCCGTTTGAAGCACACCAAGGCACTCGAGCTCGCAGCCCAGAGTTTTTATGGAAAGCAAATGAGCAACATCTTTATCACAAATGTTTCTGTGTAACAGTATGTAAAAGAGCTGTAATTCTGCTCTTTGTTGCACTTGATCTTCACGCTGCATTTTCTTCCGATTTTCCCCCGCTTACATGCAAAGACTGCCTTCCTTTCACTCCTCTTCTTCTGCCTCACTTACACACACCCACTCCATCTCTGCCTCTCTGTCTTGCTCGGGATAATGGTAATTAGAATATCACCATGATTGGAATTTGGCAAAAGTTGAAGAGGAAATAGGTTTTCTAATCAAAAGCCTCCTCGTAGCTGGAATCCTGATGCTTACTTGGCTGAAAAATGTTCTTCAACGATGGGGGCCTAAATGGATGCCAGACTGTATACTGAGGGCCAACGCCGCTCTTTCCCTGCAATGTTGGATTTAATGCAGATGTCCCAGTTGAGTCTGTCTCAGCCAATTAGTTAGTTTTTACTTATCTATTTAAAAGTGTGTGTTTTGCTGTCATTTTTAGATGAAGAAGAAGATTGATGCCTCTGTTAAATATGAAGCTACTTTTAGCTTAACTTAGCATACAGACTGAAGGCAAAAGGCTAATTAAATCTATCCAAGGGTTTAAAAAAAAATCCACCTACCAGCACCTCTGTGGCTCACTGGTTAATAAGTCATATCTCGTTTGTTTATTCCGTACAAAAACCCAATTATAAAAGCGGCAATTTGTGGTTGTGTGGGGGGTTGTGTGCTTGACTGTCTCTTGGCTCAGAGCAGTGACATCCTGCTGGTTGCCTGGCAACCTCACGCTGTTGCCTACGGTGTCATTTCTCACACATTTATTAACCTGAGCTGACTCTGTTCTGGTTTAAGTCTGCCAAACTATGCATAACTGCTGTCAGTATTGTGTGCTATAGTTAAAAGTTTGGGCAAATCACTGTGATTTTTTTAAAAATATTTCCAAGGAGATATGTAATGCAGAAGTTGGGCGAGCAGCTAGCCAAACATAGATGAAAGATATTAACACAAAATATCTTTGCAGGACTTGTAATCCTCAGTATTTTGGAATTAACTTCAAAGATGATGCTGATCAAAGCCCATTTGTAGCCAAATAAATTTGCCTTTGGAGTTCAAACCTCGACTTCAACGACTGTCTGTTTCTCAAATCTGCTGTTTTCTTTTAATGATTTTCTTTTCGCAGAGGGGAACAGCATGAATGATTTGTCTTTGCATTCTTACCTGGCTTTTCCTGCAGCTTTACAAGCATGCACCTCTTTGCATGGGCAAATGGGGGCGATTAAATTTAAACGGGGCTTTGAATGCTAACCTGCCTTTCTGTTTTTTTTCCCTCCCTTCTCCCCTCCCCTCCTGTCCTCCTCCTCCTCCTCCAACGCAGGAGCTGCACAGGAACCAGGTAAGCCTTCCTCACGTGTCCTTTCCTCCTCTTGACCACATCCTCTCACCATGCTCCAGCTTTCCAGCTTCTCTCTCCTCTTCCTCCCTGACATGCTTCATGCTTCCTCTCAGTATTTAGTGTTTGTGTTTTGCGTACGTCCAATCTGCAATCTTTCTCCATTTCAGTTTCTCTCATTCTCTCTCACATTTAGATTTAGATCAGGTAGATCTGCCTCTCGCATTCTCCACAGTCCATTTCTTCCAAATCTCATGGTGCTTATTGCTACTGACTGATACAGTATGTCTGCAGTTGCTTACCAATGTCCTAAATAGCTGTAGCATCTTAGTGTACGCTGCAGTTAATCAGGTCGTGCTAAGATCAAACTCAGTGATCTGAAGAGTTTGATTGCAAAACAGAATGTTTTCTCAAAATGACAAAACTTTGAATGAAAGTCTGTTTTAGAAATAAGAATGGAGTTTCTGGTTTTGTATCTTTGTACACACACTGCATATATGCACTTAGCTCCGACTGCATTCATGTAGCAGACTTGCTGCTGTTGACTATTTGTCTAAACCAAGGTAGTATGTCTGAGTCTGAAAAGTGAAGCCAATGCGGAAGTGCCTTAAACCCAGACTGTTTAAAAAGATGGATGACGCTTCTCCACATACTCCCACCATACAAAAATTAGCCAAAATATCCCAGATATGGCCACAGCCATCTTGACGTTATTTGGAGCCAGAGTCTGCACAGTAGCAATCTCCGCTATTATCGAGTTCCTGCCCAGACCAATCGCGAGCAGCACCGCTGATGTTGAGCATACTGATCGGCACACACAGCTGCCAGTCATGACCTCAGTCAACACAGTCGATGAAATCCGGCGCTTGGGCAGTGTCTTCCAGTGTCAGACACCAACGAAAGTGGGGCAGGCGGGAAGGATAGTGGATGGGTCCAACAACCACTGACTGTCACCCTGGGAGTTCAGTGTTTGCTTCCTGTATGATTGTAAAGCCAATGTTTCCTAAACCCAACCATGTGCGTTTGTTGTTGACTAAAGGAAATGTCAAGTCATGGTGTTATACTGCATTTATTTTGAAAGCGACTGTGCAAACGCACCCAAGGTGCCTTGCACATCTGGACATGGAAGGTCCATGACCAAACATTGATATGTGACGAGGTCGGAGTGAGAATGTGTTGGATAAACTGCCCCTACATTTTAAAGATACCAAGCTGAACTATTTGGGTCATATTTGGTGGAGAAACAAGGATGGGCAGCATCTGCAGAGGTTTGGTTTTTAACAACCACTGAGTTTTTCTTTCTCATTCTGTTCTGTATGTTTGGACTTGCAGCAGTTCACAAGTTCATTGTGTTGCTCACGGTGTCAGTAGACAGTAGAAATGTGTCATGGATCTCGTCAAACTCAAGAAGAGTTAAAAAGTAGTGGAAAACTGAGGCAGCAGTTCTCTTTAGACCAGGCATTCTAAGAGATGAACAAACATATAAAAGTAACACTTTTGTTTTTGCTCATATTTTTCACAGCTTCAAGTAAAAGATCTTTTTCAGTGCACACAAAAGGTTTTGTTCTCTCAAATTCTCTCAACAGCATAATTGTTACACAGGTGTACCTTGGGCTGGTCACAGTAAAGTTACTCTAAAATGTGAAGACTCACGAAAAATGGGAGCAAAAACAAAAGTGTTTATATTTTTAATTAGTGTAGAGGCACTGTTTGAGAATATGAACATGTTTTATGTCTTTCTTTTGTAGCCAGCTGTAGCTCTAGCAACAGAAACACATCCATATGTTTCAGTTTCAGTTTATTTTATTTACAAAAGGACAGTACACATTAATCAACAGTGTTACTGTAAATGTGCCAGTTTTAGCCAGCCGGCTAATTCACAACTGCAGTCCTTTGGCAAGATGTTATAGAGAACCACAAACCTGAAATATAAATATATTAAAAGTAGACAGCATCATTTTATAAAATAACAATGACATTGAACAGAACAGAATCCAGTCCATCAATGTACTATAGCCATATTGGACGCACAACACAATGATAAATAAGGTGCAGAAGCATAGCAGCACAGACAGTACATATCACGAGTAACATAGTAGCAGAAGCATAGTAGCACAGATAGCAGCAAGCGCAACAATTCACAAGAGTCATGCAGAAGCACACAATAGCAGAAGACAGGCAAGCAGCACATAATCAGCCATGCAAATCAGAAGATGTACAGAGAAAGAAAGTTAGATGCTGAGCTAGACATGGCAGGCGACTGAGACAGAGTAAGACTCCATTGGGATGACAATACATACCAAGCTGTATATCTGGTGGCCTATTAATAGATAAAAAACATTCAACAAATTAACAACATGTTAAAACTAGTGAAAAAAAAGGTTATGCACTTGTTACAGATGCTCACATATTTGATTTTTAAAAGCCATGCCTTAAGATTTTTTTAAAATGTATGATGCGTGGCACAGTTTCTGATGTCAGTTGGAAGTGTGTTCCAGAAATGTGCAGCTCTAACAGAGAAGCAAGATTGGCTAAAAGAACTGGACCTGAAAGGCATACTGCATTCCCCTCGCTCACTTGATCTTGTGGATCTCAGGCTAGATGTTTTTTGTTTAATAAAGGCATCTGAGTACTTTGTCAGGTTCTCAAAGCTGAGAAGGTTATATTTCTGGAGAATATTGCAATAGTAATAGGTATTCGGTTTTCTGTCTAGCACTTTGTCTGCTTGTAAAGGGAGAGAATGGGCTTCAGTGTTGTGCCTTTTGCATGTGTCCAGCTTGTCATGCAGTAAGTTAAATGAGAAATTATCATTGCGTTCATAAAAAGAAGTGCAGCCGTGGGTGTTAGACAGTTCCTCATGTATCTAAAATTGGATAGGTTATACTTGACTGACCGCATTACTTTATTTACCTGTTTTTTGAAGGATAGATTCGGGTCAAGAATAACACCAAGATATTTTAATTCAGTTAGTATTTCAATAGACTCTCCAGCTATAATAATTTCAGGATTATTAGCTGGTGTCAAGTTTGATTTTGTGAAGTACATACCAACTTTTTTCTTCACATTAAGAACCAGTTGTGAGTCATTGAGCCAGGCATTGACATTTTCCATAACTGCATTCAGTTTAGCAGCTGCCAGTTCTTTGGTTTTTCAATGTGCATAAATGACCGTGTCATCTGCGTACATCTGAATCTCGCACCCTTTGCAGACTGAAGGAAGGTCATTTATGAATAGGCTGAACAGAAGAGGGCCTAAGATGGATCCCTGGGGTACACCCATTCCATTGCTAAGGAAGGGTGATGTCTCGCTGCCAACCTTTACACACTGGACTCTGTCACTGTTCTACTCACCTTGTCTGTCCATTCAAACAACCTTAATGAACATATAACAATATATAGCCTATCTGAAAACAAAAAATTATAATAAACAAACAATCAAAAAGGCAAAGTGAAAGCTACTGAAATTAACCAGTGGAAGAGATCATGGCCTTTTTCTGGTGAAAAGAGAAACTCAGAGCAGATCTGTTGTTCTACTGCAAGTAAAATAAACTAAGGGTCATGCATGTCTATGACCAGCAAACATCATCCACAGTTAGTTAAATGAGTAATTCAAAAATCAGGAAGACACATATATGATAACATATAAGCACATAGAAAATCAATAATGAAAGAGTGTCTCTAATACTAGCCTGTTTCAAATAAACGCCTGCTTCTTTGTGCAGTTGAGGTAAATAATGACATGGCTGCTTTTTGAGAATTTACAATGGATTAACGTTTTAAGGAAATAAAATAATGATTTAATTTTAATGAAAAAAAACAAACAAACATTATTTGCGTGATTAGAATCTGCTTTCATAGCACTGTTTTTACAGTTTATAAAATAAAAAACTAAAGGATATTGTGTACAGAATTAACTGAAATTTGATTTTTAAAAATTAGAGGAAATGTCGTAGTTTAAGTTGTTATCAATTTGGTGATTTTGTCAACACAGTGAGGGTGCATTGGTGCATATATTTATTGAGACTAGGATGCCTTCATGACTATAAGTGAACTGCCTTTGCTAAGTGTTGTGTGTGTATTCTAATATCTGCACTGTAAACCCCAATTAGTACACATTTTACAACTTTTTTTTTAGTTTAATTTAATTATTAAAAAAAATTTGGATGGATTTAGGTTCCTCCATTGCTAGAATAAGGCAAAAAAGGTGAATTCTGAATTAGGAAGTGCTCTTTATTTCACCACAACTATATGTTAGACGATGTAATAACCACACAGGCAGCAGATCCCTAACTGTGTATACAACTTAACTCATGCTGCAAAATGTCTTTTATCACATTAACTGTGATGCATTAGATCCATTGTGAAATACATAAACATTATGCACTGTGACTGGTAACATGAGTGATATAGAAACACATTTAAACCCAGTTTTCCTTTGCTTATGGCCTTAAACACGATGTCTCACAGCATGCTGGGTATCTCCCGTTTAGCCTCAACATGCCACAATATGTGAAGGTCACAATGATGGTGTTGTTTATAGGACTGAAACTAATTAGGTGAAATTGGCTTCATACATTTTAGTCAGGTTAAATAAGAAATACTTGATGTAACGTAAAAAAAATTATGTCAAGCTCTTAAGGGATGAGTTTTTGTGTCAAGTTTGTCATTTCGACAATCCAGAGCATTTGTGTAGACTTAACATTACAGTGTAAACTGAACTTAAATCTTGCCCCATATTACAAAAAAACTCCTAAACCTAAAACTAATACTAAAGCTAATACAAATCTAAAGTAAAGAAATCTAAAACTAAACATTTTTAAAGAATAAAAACGAAACTGAAACAGGTAAACTCACTCTGGAAACTAAATTGAATTGAAAACAAAAATTAAAATCAAAAATACAAAATTATAATAACTCTGTTCCATAGCTCCCCTTACAAGAAAATAATTTTGTGTTGTAAATCGAGTCATGCCGCCTCTCTAGCTGCCTTCACTCCCCCTTTCT